ACGGCACCCCAAAACCGCACATAAACAAACCCCTCGTGACCCCTGTTTTCGAGGCCCGAAAGGAGGCCTCCCCAAAACCCTCCTGGCGTGGGGTCTGGCCCGCGAAACACGGCCAAAGTTGACCACTTTTGGGCTTTCCTAACCCCCACACCCCCTTAGTACAGATCAGCAAAGCTGGACCTGGACGAAAGCTAGAGGAAGCTTTCGTAACAAATTCAAACATCAGTTTGAGGTCTACCTGAGGTACCCCATATTTCTACAAGGAATCTAGGATCACTGTACTGGTAATGATTTAGGCCGCTATAGCGAACCATAGCCCACACCGTTCTTGCGCAGACTCATTCCAACGACGCAGCAATCCCATCTGAATGCCGCTGCCGGCGTAGCCTGTAGGGTGCATGCAGTTGCGACTAAGGCTTTACAGCTGCTACAAGGGCCTAAACAAATCGGATCGGGCATCGGAGATGGGGAAGAAGTATCAACTAATCGAAGTGACAAATATCGCATCTCGTGCAGGAGACGTTGAGGCGTTGAGCTCACTGTAGGGTTAGGGTTTAGGCACTGCATCCTAGACCCACCAGCCATGCGCAAAATGCCGCAGCATATGAACGATAGGCTAAACTCCTGGCATCCCCCTTAGTAGCCCGTATAATACTTCAAAAAGTTTAGACCACAGCTCATATCGTTTGGAGACCCAGGGCGGTGGTGGGGACGGGGGTCAAAGCCACAGCCTCACCCCCTGCAGAAGCCCTAAACCCTAAACCTTAAACCCTGAGCGCAGAGAAGTAGGGACAAAGAAGGGGGAGGTGGTTGAACTGAACTCCTAGAAGCAAGCTACGGTAGGGGCCTAAATACGTGCTTCATGTTGCCGGCCAGGTTATACTCTAAGGGTTTTGCGTTTAGGAGTCAGGCTTCTACACTACCGTAACATGCTCAGCAGATGGCTTCTCAAGCTTTTGGTCCCCAAGAGATTGCAATAACAAGCATCGCATGTACGCTCCAAACGGGGAAGACAACACGTAATCCTGAGAAATGTACAGAAAACGATGCGTGGGTTCGTTGGAAGCTCCGAGTTTTGGGTACACTTTGGAGGTTCATGGGCTTAGGGTTTAGAGTTTAGGGCTTTCAGAGTACACGTTAGAATCAACCCCGTACAGGAACAAGACCTACGAACCCTCCTATACGGCTTGTCACTGTCAGTTCATGGGACCTGAACCTAACGTATAGGGCTGCCAAGCTTGCAAATTCTAAGCATGGGCGTCTAAATTTAAACCACAACTGTGACTACCTATGAACCTTGCGAGTGATGCTGGCTTATTGGGTTTGTTTGCAGGGTTCTGTATTTCTGTATGTATTCATCATCAAACCTTGCAAAACCCTAGACCCCGAACGTTGAACCCTACGCTCTGCAACCCTACAACCTGAACGCTGAACCCTAAACCACAAAGCCAAAATCTTGCGAATGCCCGCAGGACCTGCATGCTCCAAGGCAAACACCTAAACCCTCAACCCTAAAGCCTAAACCCTAAACCCTAAGCCCCAAGCCCTAAAGCCTAAACCC